CTGTATCTTTCTCTTTCTAAATTAATTTCACTGAATCATACATCTTCAATAACTTTTTTTCAAACTCTAATCTTCTCCATTAACGCTAAATCCTCTACTATTTCTACTACTATGGTGATTTGAACTGACAGTTGCATCTCTGTGCTTATGTGGTGGTTGTGGTATGGTAACTTGAATTTATGTATGTGCGAACGAAATTCTATACATTGTAACTAAATGATCCTGTATTTACCAAGACTGATCCAAATTACAGTCTTTAGTCCAATAATAATGTTGTTGTACACTTACTTACATGGATGGTACTGTGGTGCGAGCTACTTATAAGTAGTAGTATATGACGTGAGTGTCAGTCGACGTAATGTCTGGCAGCAGAAGATGGGGGGGGAAGATCAAGAGAAAGGAAGAAGAGTTAGAAGAACACAATGGAATTTGTGTATGAAACGAACGCATGAATAGTGAGTGACAATGGATTGTTGATGTTTTTTTAGCAACAGGAACAACAGTCCAGTTCGATATGATGATGATGAACTGATATTTTGCAAATGAACGAACAATTTACGCGATATGGTTTTCCGATGATTTTACTGAGTAACTAACTCTGTAATTTTCATTATGCTGTTTGTTTATACTTTTTGTTCGGCTTAATATATCTCCTATAAATTAGAATAGTCTATTTGCTCAAGGGTGAAAATTGGTCTTTTATAAAAAATGATATTTTTTTGTATAAAACGATTTAGTCTGTTGAAAATTTTATAGTTCAGGGTGGATGATTTTTTGTGGAGTTTGGTTCTCTCTCTCTGTGTGTGAGTTGAGAATGTTTTGATTAGGGAGCTTATGTCATTCATTGTTCTTCTGTGGAACACAACATCATCATCATCATCATCAGTACAAACTTCTGTTTGATGTTGTAGTTCAGAAGAACAATGATGAAAGCTTCACAACCAAAACATTCAACTCAGAGTAAAAAATAAGCTTACAACTATCGTGTACAAGAGAATTAAAATGTTATGATCGTTATTAGGTATGCTTGAAACCATCACGAGTTCACCTTAGTCAGTAAACGAGAACGAGACAATGAACCAGAGTCCAGGTAGGTTACCCTGATTCGTTGACTAACGAAAAGTCTTGATATAGCGTAGAAAGTATATTCTACAAACACCCAGCAAGCACAATCCAATTAAACACACAAATCTCATCTATTTATACATCATAGAAACGTCCTTGGGAGAGTCACAAAAATAACACACTAAAATAATACAGCAACCAATCACAGCCAAGGATTTTCCTGATGGAAAATGCAAACTCAAGGTCAACTGATCATCCCATGCTCGCAAATATAAAATCCGAAATTAACACATTTATCAATCAAGTTCTAGGTGTATCTAACGTCCCCCAACACAAAAGTCAACTGAACCAAGAACTTTTGTTATTTACCAGGGTTCATTGTTATCATGGAATGATATTTTAAATTTACTGATAATTTTTTTGACAATGATTATTAACCGTGAGATGAGATCTTTTCGTAATATGAACAAAAAACAACTAAATGTCATGAGATTACAGACAAAATACGATGTCACACATTTTTGAAACCATGAATCGATCCATTAGAAACCTGGAAGCACTGGACGGCTGTTTCGTCCTGATGTATGAGACTCTTCAGTGGAAGTGCTCATCGCAAACTCCTGCACCCCATAGGATTCGAACCCAGGACCTTCGACATTGTGTACGAACCCCTAACATATAGGCCACTGAGCTGGTATCTGTACCTAAAGTCCTGAGTTCGAATCCTGCGGGGTGCAGGAGTTTTGGATGCGCACTGCCACTGCTGATGAGTAGTCCCATACCAGGATGAAACGGCCATCGTCTAGTGCTTCCAGGTTTCTTCTAATGGTGTTGGTCTAACAGTGATCGGCTCATAGTCTCAAAAATGTGTAACTTATAACAATTTTCACAACCTCTTTCATGCAAAATACGATGTACAAATTATCGTTTTTTTCTCCCATGAATATCATTTACTTACATTCGCTAAAAAAATTAGTAGTTTACACTGAGTCATAAATATATCACAAAAACAAATTCTTTCTAACAATTCATCTAATGTTTGTTTTTTTCAGTTTATTTGAAAAAATTATCAAGTTAAACGTTTTGATAATGACACCTATGTATATATCTATATATATATATATATATATATATATATATATATATATATATATATATATATATATATATAAACATTTTATTCATATAATATAATAATGAAAATATTTACTAAAAATAGTAAATGATCAAACTATTGAGATTTTTTGACTGAAATTTAATTCGTCTTAGTTGGTACACGGGCTATTCAGTCAGTCAGTTGCAATGTAGAACTTCGTACGTATGTACATCAGTTCAGGTTGTCATACTACCACATTATTAGCACACAGACGCAAATGTCAAATCAAATCTCATAGTGATAAAGATAGTAGAAGTATTAAAAGGTAATGAAGAAGACTAGTAGGGTTTGAAGATATTATTATTCAAGAAGTATAATTCAGTGAGATAAGATTAGAAAGACCAAAGGTAGAGGTGTTGACGAATCCAGGGCAACTGGCCATTATAATATATAGGTTTATATGAAATGGAATCTAAGAAGTACATTTTTGTGGTGGTGTTTCGTTCTTTCTGATCTGGTTGTTTTGGTTGTGTAAAGCTTTCATTGTTCTTCTACTGAACAACATCATCATCGGCACAAACTTCAGATAGAAGAAGTGAAGTATTCTTCTATCTGAAGTTTGTGCTACTGATGTTGTTGTTTGTTGTTCCAATCAATCAAAACATCCAACTCAAAGAGAACCAAACACCACCACCACCAAAATCATCCTCCTGAGCTACAAATTTTCTCCACCATCTTAAAAGTACGTTTTTCGTCCCATTTTGGACGCATGGTCTTAAGTTCAAACTTCTGCAAGTTACAGGAGTCATGGATACGCACTGCCATTGATGAGTCAGCAGTCACATACCAGGATGAAACGGCTGTATTTCAATGCTTTCCTGTCTAACAATGATTCATTGATGATTTCAAGTTTGATCAAAATCATTAGAAAATTTTCTCTGCTAAATTTCTATTTCTATTGCTTTTTTTTTCTCTTAAAATGACTTTTTAATGAGTTTTTCATTTTGATTATTTGAATAAGGCAGTTTCGGTTTAATTGCAAAATTCACATTTATATACATACCTATATATAAAGCTTGAACTGAGAAATTGAAAGTAGAGAGAGACCAATGTTATCGTAGTGGGTTTTATGGCAATTTTTATATCTTATAGTTAAGTTTACAACATACACTGGAAGTCAGTACCGTACATCAATTCAGGTTGCCATACCAAATAAGTACAGAGACGCAAATGTCAATTCAAATCATACAGTGGTAGAGGTAGTAGGAGTATGAGCAGTAATTGTAAAGATCACAGTGTGAAGATACTATTCAAGAAATATTACTCAGTGAAATAAACTTAAAAAGACAAAGATAAAGTTGATGACGAATCCAGAGGATTACGATTTAAGAGAAGTCAAAGAATGAATTCACCTATTCCATTGCAAACTGTATTAAGCCATGTCAATCAAGGTCTCTATAATCATCGGTTTCGATTGACTCGTGGACTCTCCAACCAGGTGGTCTACATCTACACCAATATGAGTCAATTCCAATGTTAGTGACTTACTTCACGGTTTTGTGCCAACCTACTCCTACATCACAAAACATAGCTTGTAGAGGCATTTGGTGGTTAGACATACGTAACACATGTCTCAACTACCTCAACTGATGTTTTTCAGCCATATCAAGTGTGTATTAGTCGGAAGTTAATTGACAGTTAACTGAAACTATCTCACACGCAACAACAAATGCAAGAGAAGACGACCAGTGTAGCAGCAACTTCTGCAGCAGTAGGTCTCAACATACATAAAGGAAAAAGCAAAATTCTCCGCTGCAACACAACATGCACCAACCAAATCACGCTTGATGGAGATGCTTTCGAGGACGCTAACAACTTTACATATCTGGGCAGCATCATCGACGAGAAAGGTGGATCGGATGCAGATGTGAGGGCGCGGATTGGCAAAGCGAGGGCTGCATTTCTACAGATGAAAAATATCTGCAACTCCAAACAACTTTCAATCGAAACCAAAATCAGGATTTTCAATACAAATGTCAAGACAGTTCTACTGTATGGAGCCGAAACTTGGAGAACTACGAAAGCCATCATCCAGAAGATACAATTGTTTATGAACAGTTGTGTACGCGAAATACTTCGTATTCGTTGGCCAAATACCATCAGCAACAACGTACTGTTGGAGAGAGCAAACCAGATTCGAGTGGAGGAGGAAATCAGGAAGAAGTGTTGGAAGTGGATAGGACACACACTACGAAAACTACCTAACTGCGTCACAAGACAAGCCCTCATTTGGAACTCTGAAGGTCAATGGAAAAGAGGAAGATCAAAGAACACATCACGCCGAGAAATAGAGGAAGATATGAGAGGAACGAACAAAAATTGGACAGAATTGGAGAGGGAAGCACAGGACAGAGTTGGTTGGCGAAAACTGGTGGGCGGCCTATTCTCCATTGGGGGTAACAGGTGTAAGTAAGTAAGTAAATGAAACTGGACATGCAAAACCAATGAATGTCAATTTAGTGGTCTAACAGTTAAACATTCACAATTGATAGTGAATATTCTACATTCGATCCTTTATGCATATGAGCATCAATCCTGCATAAAAGTCTCATTTTTAAACTAATACATTTTTATCCAAAGTTTCTAGGCTTTTATTTAATATTTCATATAAAATGAATCTATGTTATAAACTATAGAAAACAATCCGCCTTATTTCATTATGGTAATTTATTTGTGAATAAGGAACTTTTTATTGAATTATCCACATAAATATTTACAAATATACTCACTTTTTTTTCTGTAATTCTCCCCGTTTCTTTTTGTTTTGTTTTGTTTTCAGTTATCTAATCAATTCAGTGATATTTCACAACAATTATCTATTACTCAATCATTTTATACATTTGAACAACAATCAAATTCAATTCCTGCTCCCTCGACTGCTCTTACTATCCCCCCTAATCCTCATCAGCATCAGCACCAACAACATCATCATTGTGAATTGGATTCGTCAACAGATCAATTATATGATTCTAATGATATCATCTGTCATGATATTAATTCCATGAATTCATTTATTCCAGAGAATTATCATCTTTTAACAAAATCACAAAAACAGTCATTCTATGATTCAACTACAACAACCACTACCAGCATGTTAACTGATTCAAATTATTTTCTAACCAGCACTACAACACCTACAACACCTACAACACCACCACCTACAAAAACAACAATGAATCTTTATTGTAACAATGTCAAAAAATGTAATCATCATCATCACGATCAGACATCATTAGTGCATGATTCCATGTTCTGGTTGAATCATCCTGATCATCCTCGTCCTCCTCATCACCATGATCATTCACAAGAATCATTACGTCATCATCATACAGCAGATTTAATGAACACTATACACAGTCATCCTGATAATTATTCAATCATAATCAATAGTAATCATAATAATACTAATACTAATACTACTAATACTACTAATAATAATAATCATGCAAGTAGTATTCAAATGAGCCTAATGATTCCTGTTTCCATTGAACATACAAATGATGTAGGCTGTGCTCCTCCTGCTCCTGCTGCTCCTCCAGTGAATAATACTGATCCTATGATGATGATGATGATGATGAAATCATTCAATGATCAATCAATGAATCAATTGAATGATATGGAACTTTTAACAAATCCAAATACTGTTGTCATATGTAATGATTTGATGGAGAATTTATACAATTGTAATAATAGTAGTACTACTTGTACTACTACCACTATTACTACTATTACTAATACTAATACTAATACTACTAGTAGTACTGTCAGTAATCATCACCATCCTCATCTGCATCATCAATGTGATATAAATATGACTTCATTACAAGTTTATCCTACAATAATCCCAACGAATTATTCACCAACCATATCATCGACATCATCATCCTCGTCATCATCTGCTTCTGCTCCTTCCATTGTTCTATGTACAGAAACACTGACCAATATACCTTCAGCAGGAGTTGCTGCCCTACAACAACCACCACTACCACCAGCGGCGGCGGCGGCGGCGATATCATCACACGGTATCACATCAATCACGTCAACATCATCAATATTATCTTTATCAAATTTATATTATACAAATCAAGAGTATAAATTACCAATTGGTTTAAGCTTTCCTCATCAACAACAACAACATCATTCTTACAAATCTAATCATCATATTGATTTTGTTAGCAATCATAATAGTAATCATAATAATAATAATAATATTAACAGTAATAATAATAATAATAATCATATTCAGTCGAATGAGAAAAAATGTAAAGTTTGTGGTGATCGAGCAGTGAATCATAATTTTGGTCAATTGACATGTGAATCATGTAAAGCATTTTTTCGACGTAATGCACATAAAGTAAGTTGTATTCGTTTCATGTTATATTTGAATGTATATATATAAAGATATATAATCATATTGATCGAGGTTAGACATGAACACTGTTGGATACTTACTAGCTTAGTAGTGATCTAGAGATTAAGCGTTCGTGAGGTGTGGGGTTCGATTCCCACCGGAGGGGTATTGTGAATAAGCATTGTTGATAAGTTCAAAACTACGATGATGTTACGCTCGTCAATTGGTAAGCTTGAAACTATTACGAATTCACCTTAGTCGGTAAACAAGAGCGAAGGCAATTGATCCAACAACACGATAGGCTACTCTAATCCGAGCATCCCAAAGCTCCACTAAGTAGAGGAAGAAGTCTTGACAAGACATAGAAAGTGTATTCTCTAAGCACCTGGAAAATATGAGGTTTTTCAAGTACACAACTCGAGTTTATTTCATACACAAGCATAGAAACGTCCTCAGCAGAGCCACAAATATAGCGTACTAAAATAAAATACCAACCAATAACAACTAAGGATTTTTTTTCTGGTGGGAAATGCAATCTCAAGGCCAACTGAAACCACAAGATCCAAATTTAGGACCTTTATCAAGTGAGTTCTGAGGATTTAACGTCCCAAACAGATGAAACAGCTGTCCAGTGCATCTATGTGTTCCCCGACGGTGATCAACAATTCATTGATCCATGATTTCAATGAAAGTCAAAAAATTTGCATTTCTTCACACACACACACAAACACACACAAAATAATCATTATTTCATATCCAAGAATTTCAATTCTTTTTTTAATGTGAAATCTAATGATAGCTGTGTTACTACTGCTCACTTCTTTAAACACTATATTATTTGAATTCAGGTCTCAATTCTATTTGAATACATGAGAAGAACAATTAATTGTACAATGAATGTACATTTAAGGCGACCTATTCAAATATATATATATATATTCAGACTACTTGATATTTATTGCCTAATGCTAAACTATATTCATCAAGTTATCTAATTTCTGTTTTGTATATCTGTTTTAACATATCAATTATGTTTCATAATAATGATGACATAATCAATATTGGCAGGTATACAAAAAATTGACAACTATCGGGAATTACAATCAGAGACATTGTTGCGACTAGTAATATACATTGAGATAGGAAACTTGTTGAAATATACTTTGTTGATGTTCAGGAAGTTAAATCCCCAGAATTCACTTGATAAATATCTTGATTTTGGATTTATTTCATGGACCGATCAGTTGACCTTGAGATCATCACATTTCCCACCAGGAAAATCCTTGGCTGTGGTTAGTTACTGTGTCATTTTAGTGTGCTATTTTTGTAACTGTCACAAGGACGTCTCTATGGAGTATAAATAAACGCAATTTGAGGGCTTGGATTTATTGTTTGCTGGTTGGGTGTTTGTAGAATACACTCTACGCTATATCAAGACTTCTTGCTGGTACAATTGGGTCAAGGGACCACAGTAGCCTACCTGGACGCTGGTTCATTGTCTCGTTCTCGTTTATCGACTATGGTGAACTCGTAATAGTATAAGCATACCTAGAGACACTTGAGCATCCCATATTGTACTAATATATATATATATATATATATATATATATATATATATATATATACTGTTCATAAGTAAGCCTTTTGTAACAATTACTTATAAGTTATCTACATGAATATATTCATAAATTATCTATACAATCATAACGAATAATAATCTTCTACAACTTTTGTGATTATTATGTAGTTTCTTTATACTAATGAATAGAGAGTAAGAACATTGATAAAAGCTCCATAACCAAAACAAAACATTCACAGAACAAAACTCCATCATTAGTAAGAATGACGGGGTTGTGAAAATGGTTAAGTTACACATTTTTGAGACTATGAATCGATCAATGTTAGACCAACACCATTAGAAGAAACCTGGAAGCACTGAACGATGGATGTTTCGTCCTGGTATGGGACTACTGATCAACAGTGGCAGTGCGCATCCATGACTCCTGCACCTCAACGCAAGGTAGTTGGAGGCCACTGGTTAGTGCACTGCTGGGTGGTGGCTCGGTAATCAATTTTGGGGTGCCAGATCTAGCTAGCTGGGCAAACTCGCCTTGCTGCCGTTGCCGATTGGGCACTGTAGGTAGTGGACTGGTTGATTCGAAAGTGCCCGAACAAAAGCCACTGCTCGTGTGCATGCTTTTCGGACGTGTCCACTTGTCTGCGGACTAATCTAGACAAAATATATATATACATTCCCGTATGTTGGGCAGGAGTGATCACAATATTAGCTCTTGTGCAAAAAATCCTTGTGTTGCTCCAGTGTAATATTTTTTTTCTAAAAAAAAGAAAAGAGTTTACTCTTACCACAAAATAAAAAAGAAAAGAAATCAATTGGGCGTTGTTAGGGTTACTTATTGTTTTTTTTTGGTTTCTCTCTTATCGTTGACATTTTTCAAATATACATACATATTTGTTGGCATTTGATTTTATTTTCAAACTTTTCTCTGTTGTTGTTGTTGTTGTTGCAAAGATAAGATAAGATAAGAGATGGAGGATAAACGGTAGACAAAATGAATTCATTCATTTATTCATTCATACATATATATTTGTATACATATGCATAGTACTTTTCCTTATGTGTCTGTGTGGGTGTGTGTGTATTGTGTTACAGAAGTATAAATCAGCGTGTTTCGTTTTTGGTTTTTGCTGTTTGTTCTGTTGGGAAACGAACAAAATTCCTCTTGAATCGATTCTCATTTGACAATTTCTTTTTTTTTTCGCTAAAAAAAAATAATCATTTCTTTTGTAATCTGGTTTATTTATCTATTTAAACTCGACACAATCGATAGTAAGTAGAATGTGCTCACTGTGCGGAGCATTGATCGTATACCGTGGGACAACCGAGTAAGCAATGCTGTCGTTAGGAAACGAGTACTAGGCAAGGATGGCAGATCAATTGATGAAGTGGTGAAACTTCATCAGCTGAGGTGGTTGGGACATTTGTTACGCATGCCTAACCACCGACTGCCTCGTCGATCTTTGTTTTGTAGTGTAGGAGTAGGTTGGAAGAAAGTTAGTGGCGGCCAAACCAAAACATGGCACAAATCCATGAATTCATTGACGAATGGACTTAGCCATGTCGGTAATTGTCGACTACCTGGTTGAGGTCCGCGAGATGATAGTCACCTATGGTTAGATACCCTGAATGATATGGCTCAAAATCGTTCGCAATGGCGCCGGTGCATTTACTCTTTGTGTTCTCTCAAATCCTAATCTTCCGGATTCTTCAAAATCTCTAGTTTTGACTTTCTAAACTTTTCTCACTAAATCATACTTCTTGAATATCTTCTAATCCTAACCTCTCCGATTACTTCTAATTCCCTTACTACCTCTTCTACTATTGGATTTGAATTGACAATTATATCTCTGTGCTGATGTGGTATGGCGACATGAACTGATGTACTTACGTGCGAACTTCTACGTTGCATCTGACTGACTGACTGCGCGGACTAGCTTCATTAGCGAAATTCTTGGAGTTCTAGTTGAGAAGATGTGATCGGATAGGGTTTTTTAATCCAGTTGGTTGTAGGCAGTGTGACTAGTGCAGATAAATGCGTGAGGTTATGCACAATCCTTAGATTGATCAGAATGAGATATTATTACCATTGTATACCGGCTGTTTGTTCGATAGGTTAAACGTTCGCACGTAGGAACGAAGTTCCTGCGAATTGCTGATGAGTAGCATACCGTGACAAAACAGCTGTTCAGCACCTTGAGACTTCTAATGATAGCCTAACAATGAATAAATCATGATTTCAAAATAATCACATCATTGGTACTCATGAATAAAATTGTAAAAATATGTAACAGGAGAAAATTACCAAATTTCTTCAAAATCTAAAGTTTATGGTAAATCGAATGAGAGAATCAATTTTTATTGCTGTTTAATTGTTCATTTATGTTTCGAATGTTAAAACAATTAGAGTTATGGAGATGAGTATTTTTATACATTTGAAATCATTAATCAATCAAGACCGAAGGTCCCGCGTTCGAATTCTGCGAGGTTCAGGAGTCATGGATGCGCATTGCTGATGAGTTCCCTACCAGTACAAAACGGTCATTGTCCAGTGCTTTCACGTTTCTAATGATGGTATAACAATGATTGATTGATGATTTCAAATGTGTGAAAACAGCACTAATCTCCATAACACTAACTGAAAATATCGTAATATGTGCTCACCAGTGACTAACTTCGTGAGGTAATTCTCGGAGTTCTAGTAAGAAGACATGACTAGTGGAGTTCAACCCTGTTGGGTGTAGGCAGTAACTGCCTAACACAAATGGGTGAGGTCGCGCAAAATCCCTAGATCAATCAAAGTTAGACATTAACACCACTGGATTCCGCCCAGTGGTCTAGAGGTTAGGCGTTCGCGCACAATACCCGAAGGTCCCGAGTTCAAATCCTACGAGGTGCAGGAGTCGTGGATACACACTACTGATGAGTCCCATACCAGTACAAAACGGCCATCATCCAGTGTTTCCAGGTTTCTTCTAATGGTGGTCATCTAACAATGGTTGACTGATAACTTCAAATGTGTAAAAATTATTATATCGGAATAGTAATAAACTAATATTTTAGAATATGTGATTTACTTTAAAGGAACATCATCTTTTTTCTATTAAATGAAGTAATATGTAGTATACATAAAAAGTAAATAAATTGTTTGAAATTTGTTTTCTAATGATACAGTATTGTACAGTATGTATCAACCAACATACTCAATCATGAATGTAGAAATAAATTTATACAAATATTAGAATCAAGTCAGATATGTTGTTGATTTGACAAATGCTAGTTGTATGTATTTCAAATTTAGTTTGACAGTAGGACACTTTCCGGGGAAGGATACAGTATTTTTGTAAAGGTTTTTTTACAATCTTTCCAATGATAAAAATGTTTTTTAATCATGAATGAAAAAAGGTTAATAATGATGTTAAGTTCC